ATAGATAGATGATAGATAGATAGATAGATAGATAGATAGATAGATAGATAGATAGATAGATTGATAGATTGATAGATTGATAGATTGATAGATGGGTTTCACATGAGTTGTGAGAGCAGGCTATTTTCTTATTGAATTCAATAATAACAGATTATATTTGACAGATGTATCCTTGTTTTGAGGGATATTTAAAGTACTTTAAGTCCTTCACAGCAGGATGTTTTATTTATTTAGGTTTTAGGACATGCAGATACATCAGCTGTACTTCAAAACACTATTCAAATGACTGATTGTTACAAACTAACTGTTAAAACATTGTTTTAGATGCAAAAAATGTTGATTTTAGGTTATTAAGGTAATGCTGAAACAAATACAGTACAATTTTTTAAAACTATTTCACATCCAAGCTGCCTGACATAATGGCTTTTTAATGGTTTTGATCAATAGGTCTTCTTTTAAAGTTTTTATTTCTCAAAACATGGCTGYTTTTCACTGACATTTTCCAAATTCGTGCACTGAATGTTCTTTTCCAATGTAATTTGTGAACCACTGCTTCAAAACGGAAGMAGATTGTAGTTTTAAATTTCCCAGTTTCATCACAGAGGAGGTATCAACATGTCCAACTTGTGCATTTATTAACTGCCCAAAGCGCTCACAGGGTTATGCACTTTCCAAATAGTCAAACTGCCTCGAAAATAAAAAAAAGATTCCTAATTGAATCCGTTAAGGTTTGTTTTAGAAAATTTGTTTGCCAAATAAACCAAATTACGTTGTACAGATTGTGATTTGCCAAAGCATTTCATTTTACGYAGGGTTAAAAGTTAAACTAGTCAGTTTTACAATTTCTGTAGATCAGTGACAGGAATGCTTTATTTTATTTTCATGCTACGGTTTCAAATTTGTGTCTGCCAACATTTAAATACAAAAGAAGTTCTCTGTTTTTAATTGAATGTCTTGAATATTTGAGAATAGATATTGGCACAACAAGTAAGGGAAAGTGTGTTTGTTAGTTTATTTTTCTGTTTTAACAATGCTTTTTGGCAAAAAATCTTATACTGTTAGAAAGTCTGTTAATTTCCTTCCTTTTAAATTTTTTTTGTTAATTTCCTTTCTATATCAGGTCACATTCGTAAGGAACATGCATGTGTGGGATGAGCAGTAGTGCTGTGTGTGTGGGCGCCAAATAGTTTATTTTGCTGCTGCTATTGACACAGTTTGAGCTGGCTCCACCAGGTGCTACCAGTCGGGTGCCAGATATAAGATTTATTGTCAAGAAACATTATTACAACAAAGACATTATCTACCAAATACACATTTCCTTATTTTTGTGCTATGTTTTATATGAGTTTGTACTTGTTGTCTTCAGCCTTCAGATATGAAAATCCTGATAAATTTGTAATTATCATAACTAAAGTGATGATTTGCTGTCAYAGTGATTAACGCTGTCACGTCAAAAAATATATGAAGGAAGTGGTGGAGTGATTTGGCGCCTKTATAATTAGATGTAGGTGTCAGTCTGAAAGTGAGAGGCTGTCCATCTGTTTTAGTTCTAAGATGAAAAAAGTGACCTGTTTTGGGCATTTCAGGGGTCCACATTCTGTTATCCATCCATCCATCCATCCATCCATCCATCCATCCATCCATCCATCCATCCATCCATCCATCCATCCATCCATCCATCCATCCATCCATCCATCCATCNCCATCCATCCATCCATCCATCCATCCATCCATCC